ATATATATATATACACACACACAGAGAGACACACAAAATTTGTATTACCGCCTACTGCTGCATAAGAAATTAATAATCTTTTTATATGACTAAATTTCAAGAGTATTTCTGGCTCCAGTACACACAATTTAAATGTAGCTGGTAAGCTGAAGTGGAAGGAAGAACTATGAGTGAGTCAGTCTAAAAGAATTGCCAATTGCTTGGCTCTTCATCTGCAGATGAAGTACAAGTGCCCCATAAAAGGATCTTTCATTTTCCTTTTGCAAGCATTTCTGTGGGAGGGGAGGGGTAAAAAATAAAATAAATCAGTATTTGCTTGGAACTTCAGAAATGGATTGAAATGCAATTACAGTTCCCATTCCTGGAGGATACAAAATGTATGAATTTATTCTTGAACTCATCTCTTCAGATATTAAACTGCTTTATGGAGAACAAAATGGACTAGAATAGTAAATTGAGTGTTCAGTGACAAGCACAAAGAAGACAGAAATAGATGGGAATCTGTCTTACAAACAGTAAGAAGTACTCTATATATACCCCTGTGAGCATTTTATTTAAAATCATCTTGGAATCTTTGATCATATATATGAAACAAAATATGTTCTATGTACTCTCTATATTGGTGTGTATATATAATAAGTTACCTGTATAAGGCTGGTATTAGGTGTATAAGACAGATCTATGTATCTAATTTGCATGTGTATATACATGATGAAAAAAGCAAATGTCTCAATTAGAACAAGGTCTGCACTTATTTCTTATTCTAAGAGAATATCTAAATATTCAATCAAAATCTAAATGAAATAGATGGTAATGACACAGCAATAGTCCAAAGGCTGCTTTACAAATCCTCCTGAAAGGGTTATAAATAGTGACACTGACAGATATTAGAAGTACAGATCAGAAGCAAGTCCAAAGTTATCAATATGGAATATAAAAAGCTGCTTGATGAAGGTTTCTTGCATCGAACAGTCCTGACCATTCACTCCCATTTATGATATGAAACTGGAAATTACCATGGGAAAGTATTTATTTTAAACCTATGTCATTATTCACAAAGGGTTCTTCTCTGTAACACTTACTAATGCTTTGTCAAGAAAGATTTAGATGCTCACCATGACATGGTTTCTAATTATTCTAGGTCTTAATGCTATTTCATCACACCAAATTACAGCAATTCAATCTCTGTCCTTCATCTCTTCACTGTTCCTCAAATTGTTTCCCATCTGGATTATTAGAAAGTCCAAACATAATACAACTCAGAAATATTAACTTTCTGCATTATTCACATAATTTGGTCCCCATTTATTTTCAGAGTTCTCTTTGAAACCACTTGCAATCAGCCCCAAGTTTTAGATTTTGTGTATGATTTCTACAAGATGCAATGTCATCACCTAAGAAGTAGAAATACTGCATTAGCACAACATGAAGTGATTAAAGTCTGGGAAGCACAAAGAGAATCTGAACACAGATCCTGGTTTTATGAAGAAAGTGATTTTGAGAGTTGTTTGCATTAAGTTGCAAGGACTTAGCATGATACTCTCTGTTCTCACAACTGCTGTCTAACCTGCTCAGAAAAGTGATATGAAAAGGCTTTAATAACACTAGACCACTCAGAACACAGTCATAACCCATATTTGGCTCAAAAGTTGCCTATGTGCACAGGAGATCTGAAGGATAAAGGATCATCCTATCCAGTGCTGCCTTGCAAAGGAAACCTCCACACTCCATCTTAACAGCAGCATATTAATGAACCTGTCAAAGCCGAGATATTAAAACAGATTTTCTTTTAGATCACATTTAGAAACTAATTGCCAGCAGAAACATCATTCTTCCTGTAATAATGCCACACAGCTAATGCCTATTACAAACTAAGACATTTCAAAGCCTTCACTGGTTATGTTGGCTGATTATCTGCTGCAGAATGAAGCATCTTAAGAGTACCCTATTTATCATTTAGCTGTTAAAAAGTATGTATTCCAGCATTTTTATTAAATATGGAAATACTTCTCATTGAAGAAATTCTAAAGGCATCAAAAAGCACAGTAACTATTTTAACAATAAGCTTTTCTGTAGAAAATGTAAAAAAAAATGAGTAGAACACTGATGCTTTCAATCACTGTAGGTACAAATTCGTGCATGAAGAGCAGTGACTCTTCCAGGTCTACTAGACAGATTTTTGAGATCTTTCATAAGATGCTAGTAACAATTTGAAGGGTACAAAGTCACTCTTACCTTCCATCTGCATAGTCTGCATCTGCACCTCCCCACCAGACATCTGAATCATCATCTTCAGCATCAGCTGAATCAAGATTGTCGCTTTCCTCTGCTAAGGGGCAGCAGACAAACTCCACACCACGAAACTTGTCAATTCCACAGGGCAGCAGCATGCCATAGTCATGCAGGTTCATGCTCTTCTCACTACAGGACTGCAGAAAACAGGAAAAAAAACAGCAATAATATTGTCATGGAGGAAGATGGAAAAAAATGCCACAGAGTCTGAGAAAACAAGAAGGGGTTGTGTATTGCCTCAAGAAGTTAAAGCTGGTGAACTGCATGATCTTTGAATTTTGAAGCATGATTTAGAAAGGACATGTGTGCATGTGGACTACCTGCACTGTAAGTACCTCCCTAGCTGTATCCATGCAGCCACTCTAAGCAACAATTGCTACTTTCAGTCTTTCCCAGTATAGAAAAAACCTGTCTCCTTCTATATGCATGACCCTCCATATCCTCTTCTCTCAAGTTCTCACAGGCTCTGCCTCACAGACAAAAAACTTGAAGACAGATCAATAATTTGATGTATTAATCCCAATCCTGATGTATCAATGCTATTGGAGAGTTTACTGCAAGATAGATTAGCATTTGAAATACATCAAATGTCAGTACAGTACCTCAGGGCCTTGTCTGGAGAACAGTCAGTTGTGCATAATTTTATCTTCAAGGTATAGTGACACAGGATAGAAAGATATATGTGATGTATGACAGGTGAAAAAGGAAAATAGTTCAGTGGTGTACAGTGATGATGTTCTAGGCTATGCCATTCCAAGTCTGCGAGTGCTTAAAATGAACTAGAATTTCCCTGTGTGAAGGCTGGTGCCTTGAATGCTGCGTTTAAGTATGATTCAAGCAAGTACTAAAAATCTGAAAAGCTACTCAGCAAATTTCAATTTTCATCTCCAGAAGGTGGGATAACATACAAACTAAGATGTTCCAAACAAAATAGCAGCCAGAAATCTTCTTGGAAGCTCAAGTCAGTTTTTATTCCTAAAGCCTCTCAGAATAAGAAAAAAATGTCCAAAACACATTAGCAATTGTGACGTTAAGTTTATTTCTGTTTTCAGGAAAGCACTGGTAAATTGTAAAAACTCTGTGCCTGACTGTAAAACGTCTTTAGCTAGTCCTAC